AAAATTTTGTTTTGAGATTCTCTCTCTAAAAAATCTGAAGATGAATATTTTATTTATTTATCTGTCATTATTTTTTTGTCACAATTTATCTGTCATTATTCATACTACAATTTTGTTTAGATGAAAAATATTTTTTGCAAACTTCATATATTTTTAAACATAAAATAGTATAAAACAAGTTTCTATATTTTGAGTTAAATTATTTTTCTTTTCAAAATGGTAATTTCATTTCACATCATATGTTTTGATCATATCACATTCATTTGATTTTCTTATGTATTTACTAATTACTCTTCATAACCTTATATTAATGTATTATGTATATAAAGATATTTGGACTACAAATCTTAGCAAGGCAAGTGATTCACTTAAGACTAGTAGATAAAAATCAAAATAATTATGTTTATTTTTGTTTTGAAGTAGGACCTTTGAAAAGATTGAAACAACACTAAAAGCATCCTTAACCATGACACTTTAATAAATATAATAAATATTTATGAAGTTTAATGGGAGAGTTTCTATGTAATGAGTTTTTAGATATTTTAATGAAAATTGTTTTAAAGAAATTAATATTAAAAAATGAGTTTTGACATTTTAGGGATTCATGGTTAAAGATGCTCTAAGTATTGCATACCAAGCATAAAATCCAACATGAATGTGCTTTTTCTCCACTCCATGGCTTTTTTTTTCTTTTTTTCTCCACTTCATGGCTATGGCTAATAATACATTCTAATGTAAAAGTTCGAGCTAAAATAATATTTTCTTCTTTCTCCAGAGATGTGTTATAGCCTTATGTATGTCAAGCGGGATGCAAATCATGTTGTTGATGATTTAGACAAGCAAGCTAGAAAATGTGGTCAACATTACTTAGGGTGTGATTGGTAACATGAGTTACCATGAGTTATGGGTGTAACTCATAGTTAAGTCAAAAATGTTACCAATCATGAATTAAACTAAATTTTTTGAATTTGAGTTTGAGTTATGATGTGTTATGGTTGATTTACAAATTTGAGGTATATCCTTTGTAAAATTGGTAACTCAAAAATTAACTCCACATCATGAAAATTCTCATGCATTAGGGATGAGTTACTATTTTTTAATTGTTTTTTTTCTTCTTAATTTTCCAACCAACGTTAGTTTTGTGGATTTTTATTTTCTTTTGTGTATCTTATTACTACAAACCTTTTCAAATATTCTAACGAGTCTTTTAGTCAAAGATTTTTTGTAGATTTTATAAGTT